ATGCACTGGTAAGTTTAGTTTCTAAGATAGTTAAGCCTGAAGATCCCACACTTCAATCCATCCCTACACAAATTGCAAATGACAATCGTTACATGTCGTTTTTCAAGGTATATCTTAAACGTCTTATTACTAACTTAGCATTGTATAAGAGCTATTGAAACATTTTTATATTGAAACTCTCATTCATTAATTATTGAAATATTTTGATATTTAGGATTGTATAGGAGCTATTGATGGAACTCACGTTGATGCACGTGTATCTGGAACCGACAAAGGAGCCTACATTGGACGTTGTGGTTCTCCCACACAGAATGTGATGGCCATTTGTGATTTTAATGTGTTTTACATTTGTGATGGCCGGATGGAAGACAGCGCTCACGATAGTCGTGTTTTTAAATTTGCAACAAGACGTCGAACTCATTACTTCCCATACCCTCCTCCCGGTACGTTGTTATAGCAAATATATCAGATATTTCTGAGTCGTTACTAAAATATGTATTTTGTGCATGTAAGTATTATCTAGTTGATGTTGGATATCCTTTACAAAGGGGTTATCTAAAGCCTTATGCCGACACGAAGTACCATATTCTAGACTTTGAGAGGTCAAGCAGGGTTGCACGTGGTAGAAAAGAAGTTTTTAACAAACGACACTCTTCTTTACATGGTGTCATTGAGAGGTCATTCGGGGTATGGAAGAAGAAGTGGGTGATATTACGTGACATGCCAACATACCCATTTTCGAAACAAGTAAAAATAGTTGTGACAACAATGGCTCTGCATAACTACATACGACGACACCACTCACGTTTCGATGAGGATTTTGCATCTGTAGATGAAAACTTGCATCATATTCCTCAAGAAGCATTTGAATTCCATGTCGGACGTCTCATACCCCAGGATGAATCAGAACATCCTTACAGGCACGAAGGTGAAGGTGCAAGGGAAATGACGACATTGCGAGACCAGATAGCGGACGAAATTATGCAATCATGACACTGTTTCTCGTGAGTGCAGTTGTTGTATAGCGAAGTTCAAAGTCAGTTTTTTTGAAATAGAAATTTTTTGTACTTTGGCGAAGTTCAAAGTAAGTATTTCAAAATAGCAATTTTTTGTAATTTTGCGGAGTA